GAGTAGAGAGGTAACCTGAACTTTCAATGGTGCTACTGTAAAGACTAGACCTATGAAACGGAGCTAGAACTTGTGAAACTAGGCAAAGAGCTGACCTTTGAGAAGGGGCTGAATAGAACTAACCAGGCTGCTAGAATTTCTGGATTTCAGAGAAAAAGGTTACATGCTAGCAAACATGTAAACCAAAGGTGTATGATTACAACCTGCCTTTCTGGGCTATCTGGTTTGGGAGCTTGGTGGAACTTGAATTGAACACCAAAATAGTAGGAATATGTTGTAAAGTCAGTACTAGGATTGGGATGAACTCTACAAGAGCATAGCAATTAAATGGTATGCCCTGACCATCAGTGTTGGTTTCAGCCATAGTGATACCAGGTCAGCTGTAAAAATAGGATACAGAAGATTCTGGAAGGTTTAATACAAGGTCAAAGGTTCCTTATATGAGTAAACTGCTTTAAAGACTTAGTAATCATGGCATATTTGTACCGATATTGACCGGAGCATCTTGGTAGGTGTAGGTAGGTGAATGGATATAGGAACAGAGTGGTTAAATAGGGAACTTACAAGCAGGTTTCAGGTATGGCACAAGTGTAAAACCTTCAGATAGACTACTTAAATTAGACAATAACTAAAGTTGTACGAATGGCTAGTTGTATACTCTTTCCATGATTGCTTCCTGTAGTTGTAATGCAATCATTAGCTGAATGTACTATTAATAAAATCCTAGATCACAAGTACTCATCTTAATATTTAAAAAAAAAATAATAATAATAAAAACCAAATAATTAAAAAAAATTTAAAAAATAATTTAGAAAATAAATTTAGAAAAAAATAATTTAATAAAAAATTAATAATAATTAAATAAAATATAAATAAAAAAATAAAAAATAAAAAAATAAAATTATTTAATTAAAAAATAAAAATAAAAATAACCAATAATTTATTAACAAAAAGTTTTTTTACTTCTATTTAAAGCATTAGTAAGGTTAGTCATAACTTGTACAGCATTTTGTAAAGCTTGTTGTGTCATGTTATTAGATAGGTGTGAAAGGTTATTAAGAATAAGTGAAAATGAAAGAAGAAGTTAAAGTTGAGGTTGAATAACAATAGATTAAAATTGAACAGTAATAGGTTAAAGTTAAGAAAAAACAAGTTAAGATGAAGGTAAAGAAGAAGAACTATCTTCAAGAGTTTGTTGAAATGAATCAGTAAGAGTGTAATATGAGCTAAAGGTTTTTGTAAGGTCTATGGTCTATAGAAGCAGTAATATATTTTTCTGTTTCTAAATTGTCAATAACTAATAAAAGAATTTGTAAAGTTTAATTGGAAGTATAATGACTTTCAAAAAGTTTAGTAAATGTAACTAATTTATTATATAGAGCTAAGCTATCTGTTGGGTTATATAAGAAGAGAATATTATTAGTAAAAGTAATATCAGTAATAGATGGTAGAATAGAACTTTCTAAATTTTCAAAATGTTGATTGAATTCTTCTAGTTCTTCAAAACTAAAACTTAGAAAAGCATTGAGATAAAGGTCAAAAGTGTTTTAGTATTCAAAAGTTAAAATAGGAAGTTAGAAAAGATTAGTATATTTTCTAACTAGAGTCAAAGCAATGGTTCTAGGATCACTAATGTTTTATTAGTATCAACAACTAAAAATAATATTTTTAATGCAAAGATGAAATATAATTTGGTTTGGATATAATGTAATAAGTGTAGTAAAGTTGTTCTAAGTTTGAAAAGAATAATGTTAAGCTGAAAGTTGGTTTGGTACCAAGTCCAAAATCATTCAAAATCTGAGCAAGGGCTAGTATGTTAAGGAAAATAACACTGAAGACAAGATAAATCTAAATGCTATGCTTAAAATACATTTATTGCAAGATGAGATCCAGTTAGGTGTGCTTGTTGATGGCTTTGGATGTTCTTATTGTAGAGTTCAGTAGCAGTATTAATTATAAAAGAAGAGATGTATCTATGTTCAGGACTCTGCTAAAATAACTATTACTCATCTGGGTCTCTTATCAGGATAACTAATACTTATCTGGGTCTCTTGTTAGAATAACTTTTCTAATATTTCTAGAAATGTTTTGTTTGAGATAATTTGTTTTTTTAAAAAATTTAATTTTTCTGCCAAAAGTCACCAAATGTTATAGTGAAAGCCTTCTTAATTTTACACTATAATGATGACATAGCATAAAGAATTTCTTATAGATATATGTGATATATAAAAGGGAATTATAGCTTTTATTAAACATTGTCAAGAAACTAAAGGCAGTTCAAGAAAGGTAATGCAATACTAATAACTTTATTTAATTTTACTAAAAAATAATAAACTTTGTCTGTAGAAATTACTTTAGAAAGAAGTATCAATACAGTTTATAGTTAAAAGCTATTTATTAATGTAAGAACAAGAAAGGCTATTCTTAGGTTTCTGTTTCTAAAGTATCTTAAGATATGTTTATAATATTAAAAGAAAAAAGAATATTTGTTGCTTAATCACACTTAAGAAATTTTAGCAGAGTTTATATAGCTGTGAGCTAAGTAGCTAAGTGGCCAAGCAACTAAATAATTAAGTGATTAAGCAACTAAGTAACTAAGTAACTAAGTATTAAGTAACTAAGTAACTAAGTGACTAAGTGACTAATTGATTACTAAGTAATCAGAAGATTCTAGCAACTAATGACTAATAATTACTAAGTGATTAATTATTAAGCAACTAAGTGATTACTAATTAACTAAAAAGTTCTAACAACTACTAGTAATAATAATAATAATACAATAATGAAATAACTAATACTAAATAATAATAATAACTAATAATAACAAAATAATAATTTGTTCTATAACAAAATAAATAAAGAGTAAATAATAGATAAATAATAAATAAAAAAAGTTATTATTCTATCTTATATCTGCTAAATAATAACAGCATAACAGCAGTATAATAGCAAAATAATAGTAAAATAACAGGAGGTTTGTCAATATAAGTAATATAATTGTAACATAATAGCAAAATAATAAAACAGTTTTATTATTTTACTTTTAGTTACCAAGACTAAAAGTAAAATAATAGAACTATTCAATTATTTTACTATTATGTTATTATTATATTATTCATATTAACAAACCTTCTGTTATTTTACTATTATTCTGCTATTATGTTGCTATTATGCTGTTATTATTTAGCAGATATAGGGTAGAATAATGGCAGATTTTTTTTTTGTTATTTATCTATTATTTACTCTTTATTTATTTATTTAATCTGTACTAGTACTTATAGTATACCTCTGCTTCTGACCTTAGACTCCCAATTCAGATAGCCTAAAAAACTATAATCTGTTTCTAGTACTTTAAGGTCTGCTCTTCAAGGTTTTTTTTCTTTAGTTTAAAACTTCTAGCAGCCTGATTAGTGATACCCTTTATCTAAAGTTCTTGCTTGCCTGATTTTTTATATATTGGTATCTGTTTCCTAGATCTAGTCTTTATAGTAGTACTGTTAAAAATCTGTGCTACCTTTCTACTCAAAACTTTTCAAATGAGCTTTGGCTTTTCAGTTCACAGATTTATATAGCTATGAGAACTTATTTTGAGTTTGCACTACTCAATATTGGTTTGCATTCCTCTGTATAACTCCAATATTGTACAGATGCTCTATTACCTGCTAGTTATACTGATGTAACTATATTACAGATGTCTTATTCTAACTGATCTATAGAATGCCATTATTGTAATACTACTTATCTTCTATAATACTAATATTACATAGATGGTTTTTTCAAATTTTTGCCATCAGTAGGTTTTGAACTCTTAACTTACTACTTGGGAGGTCAACAACTTATCTATTTCACTAAGTTGCCACACCCCTAAGTAAAAAAGTTATTAAAATATATAAAGTTGATATTTTTAAATTTGCAATAAATAAAGTATTCATGAAATTTTATTTTTTTTATTTTATTTTTGCCTAATTATTATCTAATTATAATTAAATTATAATTGAACTAAATTTCATATTTTATTACTATTATTATACTTTAATAATTAAGTTATTTGCCATGCACGTAATAATGTCACATATAGGGGTGACAATAAAAATAAATATATAGAAATACATCACTACTTCTGTGATAAATAGTAATCTAATAAGTGATTGATCTAGTAATTAATAACTTAGGTAGCGTATTTACAAAAAAATTTATCTTATAAAGATGATTTAAATCAACAAAACACTTCTTTAGGGTTATAATTAAGGCCAAGTGAGGCATAGCTTATACTAACATCTCACAAAGAATTTTTTTGTTAGGACATATAATTCTATAGACAAATTTCAGGTTAGCTTTTCTTTAAAGAACAGAAAAGCGTAATTTTCACGTTACACCTGATTCTTTAATCTAATTGGCCAAAAATCACGTTCCAGTAAAATTTTTTGAGTTTATAGTAATCGCTTATGTATGTATATATGTATGTAAGTGATTATTATTGTTAGTTTGAGTTAGTTTATATACACTTTTTTTCAAGCTAATTTGCTTTTACAAGCACAAGCACACTTTTTAGTTTTCTTTTTTTTCACTACTATAATTCACAACTGATCAATATTTTTTATAATTCTCTTTCTCTTTTTAGTTAGATAATAGTGCTTTTTTTCTCCTTCCTATTATCTACATATATAATGGGGCAAAAGCCTTTTATAAGCATAGAAAACACTCTATCCATTTCACCTGATAACCACCCAAAACAAAATGAAATAAATGATTATAGTTTAATAGTAAATGAAAGTTTATTTACTGATGTTATTTCTGAGAATCTGAAGAATCTGAATGTTGAAAATGACAATGCTAAGAACCTGAACGTTAAAAATAACAATGCTGAGAACTTGAACATTGAAAATGACAATGATGAACTGCTAAAAGACAATTCTAAGAATACAAGTCACCATTTATCTTCAGTTCATATTGAGTTATATTGTGAAAAAACCTTTGAAACATGAGATAAATGTCAGAAGGTATTAGAATTTTATGCAAGGCAGAATAACTTTGTAATTAGAAAAAAACATGTCGATAATAGTCATGATCCTTACCAGCATACATGGGATTGTGAATGATCTGGTAAATACACTTCACATAAAAGCACCCTACCTAAAAAACAAAGAAATAAGGGTTCAAAAAGGATAAATTGTTCTTTTCTTGTTAACACATCTAAGAATAAGGGTTATAGAGATGAGATGATAATCAAATTGAAGTCTATATGTCTTGAACATAACCATACATTGGTTCCTAAAAATGTAGCTTTTGTCATGGAATATCAGAAGCTTATTACAGAAATGAAAAAACTTATCGAAAGCTACACACTCTGCGATGTTGATATCCTGTCTCAGGTTAGGTTGCTTTGTGGGTTGTTTCCCGAAGCAACAATAGTAGATTATGATGTAAAGAATTATGTTTATAAGTTTTGTAGAAATTATGAAATGGAGAGTAGTGATGCTGCAAAGCTCCTTCAACATTTTGAAAAAGAGTGTTCCAAGGATCCTGATTGGTATGTTCAACCACTAATTGATTCAGAGACAAACAGGTTACAAGGTGTATTCTATATGGCACCTAAACAACAAGAACTTTGGCAGCATTATGCTGATATTGTTTTAAACAATAACACAGCATTAACCAATACTTATAACCTACCATTAAGCATTTTTGCTGTTGTCAATAATAATTTCAAATCATGGATTGTTGCACAGGCCATATTACTTGATAAAACAAGTGAAAGTTATAGATGGGTATTACAACAGACAATCGAAGCTACTGGAGTTCAATCCAGTGCCTTTATTATTGATGCTGATCCAGGTCTTGAGAGCATAGTTCATGAAATATATCCAGACACCTACCTTTTTCACTATGTTTGGCATATTGGACGCAATCTTGAAAAACAATTGTCCAAACCTCTTGGTGACCGTTATTCTGATTTTCTTAAAGCATTTTATCATGCCTGAAATGTTTTATGCAAAGAGGCATTTGAGAGGTATTGGCAACAAATAATAATTGATTTTCCAGAATCAACCGAATATCTGCTTAGACAACTTGATACATGTAAAACAACATGGGCAAAAGCTTTTACAAGCCGAGTTTTTACTGCAGGAATAATATTCACCCAACGGTCTGAATCCATAAATAGTATAATCAAATGAATGGTAAATAAAAAAACACAACTTCATACTTTGTTCAAATGAATTGAATCATGTGTTGCAGAAGAACAATTTACCAGTCAATTTTTAGCTTGGTGTGAAAAAACATTAACATATGCAATATCAAATATTTGTGGAAGGCTTTTTCCAGATATTTACAACATTTTACAGAAATATGTAACATCTAAAATTTTACAATTGCACATTGATCAAATGAATGAAGCAGTTCTATATAATGGTAAAAAGGTTGCTCTTGATAATCTGTATAATTTAACGCTGGACACAGTTGAGAATGGGCCGATTGAAGTTGAATATGACTTATGCCAAATACGTTTTGAGAAGCTTCTTGAAAGAATTGATCATTCTTTAATAGCTGAAGTTTGGGAAGTTCATTCTATTGAGAATAAGTTAAATATTGGACAACATATAGTTTTATTAAAAAATGGCTTTCATTTATGCACCTGTATCTTGTTATTTGATAGTGAAATTGTATGTTACCATTGGTTCTATGTTATTTTACAATCAGAAAAAGGTCTTTTTCATATTTCTCTTATTCCAAACTATTGGTATAAGGATGATGTAGATTCATTAGTTAATAATAAGCCATTTGTTAAAGCAAAATTAAATAAACATGATGATTCAACATCGAACACATTAAGCATACCCTCATTTTCAGCTGTTGAAGAATCATGGAATACTATATTTATTGAACCACCTGAACAAGCTGCTGCAAAAGTGATTGGTTGAAAACAATTTATAAAAGGATCACTACTTGGACTTGCATGCAAATGCATGGAATTAGTTGATTATGATGATCCTAATGATTCTGATGTTTTGATGAAAATGTTTAAAAAATGGATTTACAAACATGAAGAAGTACAGTGTAGCAAAAAAATAAACCAGCTACAAAATACTGAAGATGATCAAGCTTCAAAATATGAGCAAGTAGATAATGAAGTCTTAGAATGCGATCTGGCTATGGAAGATGATTAATTAACAGAAGGTGATCAAGTTATAAAGCATGCACAGACATCTTATCTTGATGTTCAATACCTACTTTGACATGTTGGAAAAGGTCACCCTGCGAAAAAGCGAATTAAGTTAGCAGTTGAAAGAAACAAAAGAATCAAAATAACAAATGATAATTCATACTGTACCTTCCACCATTGTAGTGTTTGCAACAGTAGAGAGCATGACAAATGAAATTGCCCTAGCAAATAATTAGTATGAAAAATGTAGTACTATTTTATTGTTTGGTTTCACTATGTATACTTAATTGCATTAACTGTATTAACTAGATTAACTTGTTTTATAATGTTAACAATTGTTATGTTTAAATTGTACTAACAACAAAATTTAATTGATAGTAGTTAACATGCACCAGTTAACTAAGAATAAAAGTAATGATGTAATAAACCAAATTGTTCAATTTATTAAATGGCAGAATCTAAATACCATTCAACTTATGCTTTGATCTGCAATTCAGTTATTAATGAATGTATGTTCATATATAAGAATTGAGTTGCAGATCAAAGCACAAGTTGAATGGAATTTGAATTCTGCTCTTCAACATGCCAAATATTATCTCAGTATAGTGATTGTAATGAATTAGAGAAGATTGTTATTAAAAAATGCATCTAATATTGTAGCAAGTATTTCTGATCTAAGTATACTTTTATCGTAGTATTTACTAAGAACATTATTAATGGTATGTATAGTTTTAAGAACTTATAAAATCTGTCTTTTATAATGAACCCTTTTCAATAGTTAGAATTAGGATGTGTGCTAATATTGTCCTTCTTCATTTGGGGGTTATAGGAAAATATCATGTTCAAAGATTTATTTATTTTTTTATTAAAGTTGCCTTTTATAAATGAGCTCCTTTCGATAGTTAATGTTAGGGTATATGCTAAAATTGTCCTTCATATGGGGTTATAGGAAAAATATCTTGATTAAATATTTATTTTTTTATTGAATTTCAGAGACATCTCAATCTTCACTGCATATTAGATATTTTACCAACTTGCATATTTCTATCTACTTACATCGTTATTATTTTATTATTTTTACAGAGTTTAAACTGATTATAAAAAGAAAATTAAATTGTTAACTGATATGTGTTTAAATCAGATACATAATAATGTCTTTTTCGTGTGGTTGTCAAGTTATGTTAATTATTGTTAATTATTGTCGTAACCTATAAATTTCCAAGAAAATTGTAAATAGCTCATAATTTTGTGATTGCTATAAATATCTCTTTAATTATTAAGTAAAACACATTACAATATATTTTTTGTTAATGTGATATATAATAGTGTTATATAAGTTTTTATAAATTTATGCATAATATTTTTAATAACAAATAAATGATTGGTGATATATAAGCCACTGTCACATATGTGACAATTAACTTTGCTCTACTTTAAAATACTATAAAATTATTAGTTAGTATTAAATATGCAAAATGTTAATTACATAGTAGTTTGTGCAATATTTAATATTTTTATCTGTTGCTATGAAATAGATGCTAAAATTTAAGTAACTCTATAAAGATACAGTAGTTAAATAATATAACACTAATTATAAATATTGGTTTTGTTATAGCAATATTTAAATTTATTATAAAAATAGGTATAAAAGGCTCTAAGAGATTTATTTTAAAGATAAAATAATTCTAAAGTTGAAATAATAACTTAAGTATGATTTAGTAATATTAATATAAATTTAGGTTCAGAGTAGGGGCCTGCAAATTGCTTATTTTTGAGGCCTGTCTCAGCTTGCAATTAGGATTAAAAATTTTTTTTAGGTCTGATCCAGCCCACATTTAGGGTTAACATTTTTTTGCCAGCCCAGCCTGCATATGTTAAATTTTTTCTTTAGCCTGGCCTGACCTAACCTGGCTTGCAATTATAAAATTTTGCTTCAGGCATGGCCCAGCCTGCAAAAATTTGCAGGCCAGGCTGGGCTGCAAGACCCAATGCAGGCCTCTAGTTCAGAATATTTAAAATGAAACACCTAAATAGAAATATTAAATATAATAATTGATAAGGAACTTTTGAGCAAATTCTTTAAATAGATAATATAAAAAATTATATATATAACTAATTGTACACTCTTTTTATAATGATTTATAGAATTATATTATTAAAAAAATTGGTAATAAAAATTAAAAGATTAAAGAATTTATTTTAAAAATAATAATAATAATAATAAGACATAATAATATTAAAATTTTTATTTTATAATAAAATTTTTTTTTTTTTAGTATTAAAATAATTTTTTTGATCTTTTAACTTTTATTAATAACTTTTTTAATAATATCAGAAAAATTTAAAAGTGATATATATTATTAATAATTCCTAAATTATTATTGATATATAGCATTTTTGTTTTGTTTTTTTTAATATTAAGGTAAGTATATGCAACCTAAGATTTTATTAGTAGTATTAGTTGGCTAGCATCTGTTAATATAACAGTGCAAAGACAATTATAGAAAGAGTGTACAACTAGCCATTTGTACAACTTTAGTTATTATCTAATTTAAGTAATTTATTTGAAGGTTTTATACTAGTTGCTATACTTAGGACCTATCTGTAGAACCTCTATTTAAATACTCTGATTCCATATCTACTACACCCTATTAATGATTTCAGTAAACTAGTAAAAATATGCTATAGTCATTAAGTTATATTTAATTTTGTACTAAACCTATTAGTGCATTCTGTATCCTATACTTATAGCTTACTTGATATCACTTTGGTCTAAACTATTATTTGCAGTCAGAGCTAATTATTAAACTACTTTGACTTTTGTAAGATTTACTCAAAACCCTAGTACTTATCTTTTCAATATCCTCTTCATCGACTCTTATTAATAGCTACTCAGGACCAACAGAACTTCTCAGACTTCTAATTCAAATAGCCCAGTATAGTATATCTTAATATTCTTTTTCTTTAGTAATTCTGGCAGCCTGGGTGGTCATGTGTTTTTCTATATATTTTGTTATCTGGTTTATTTACCTATCCTTTTGAGAGTGTTTTATAAGCTTTCATCAGTCTGACAGCATCATCAAAAATTTTGTGCTACCTCTTTACTCAGGATTTTTAAGTAGGTTTTTGACTTTTCAGTTTTTTTACTTTTTGCACCTGATGATTTTATGATAGGTTTGCACCAAAGTCTTATGCAATACTGGTTATTAACATTCCTCTATGTAAGTGTAATGTTACACTTAGCATAGATACTCCAAACTCCTATTCAAGATAATGCAACTGAAGGTTACAGATATACTAATTTAACTGATCAACAGAGATAGTTACTGTAATATAAACCTATTTTCCAAAATTTGTTATTTATAGGATTTGAACTTTAGACCTACCACTTGAGGCTTGATAATCTGACCACTTCACTAAATTGCTATATCTCATTATAGCATTCCTGTTATCATTAGTGATTTGTAATAATATATAACAAAATTTTGTTAAATTTTTGTAAACTTTGAATTTAATTTTCTTAATAACTAGTAATTCAAATTGGCTCAAATTTTTATTATAAATAATAAATATATTCAACTATAACATACTAAAGTTTTAACTAATTTAAATTAATAATTTTTGAGAAATTACTTGTAAATAATAGTTAATTTTTTAAAAAAATTAATTATCATTTATAAGTGATTTTCTAAGAACTATTGATTTAAATTAGTTAAAACTTTAGTATATAATAGTTAAATATATTTATTATTTATAATAAAAATTTGAACCAATTTGTATTACTAGTTATTAAAAAATTAAATTCAAAGTTTAAGAAAATTTAATAAAATTTATAAAAATCATTTTTTTTTTTTTATAATTAAAGTCTCTATCTTGAGAGATGTGATATTTTTATTTAAGTATATTAGAAAATAGAAGCCTTCAGGGGCTTCCTTACATTGGAGGTTACAACTAGCCATATATGCATTTTTGGTGCCTAATTTAAGTAGTCCGCTTATACATTGCTATATAAGTTTTATACTAGTTGCATACCTACAAGTCAACTAGAAGTTTTGCCTATTTAAATCCTCTATATATGCAATCCTTTTTGTATTATGAGAACATCTCAAAGCTACACTTATTCAAGTTTCTGATGCTTATCATTACCCTTAGAACTACTTTATTCTTGATAGGAAACTTACTAGAACCTTTATATTCTATATATATAGACCTAGTTTTATACAATATACTATAATTATCTAACACTTACAATTACAGGGATTACCTGTTTAACCACTACATTACACTATGTCTACCCTTGTAAAGTTTACTAAAACCCTAGTATCTATCTTTCTAACATCATCATCATCATCCCCTACTAGTCACAACTCAAACTATCAGTCTCATTTCAGACTACCAATTCAGATGACCCAGTATGATATACTTCTGTATCTTTTTCTTCTGATGAATCTGGCAGCCTGGTTGGTTATATGCTCCTCTATACATATTTGATATCTGGTTTTAATCTTTGGTTTCTATAAAGGTGTTTTGTAGACTTCAACCAGTCCAATGATATCATTAAAAGTTCATGCTACCTCTTTACTCAGGAATTTCTAAGTGGGTTTTTATTATCTCAGTTCCTTAGTCTTCTATGTCTAATGGTCTTATTATGGATTTGCACTAAAGTCTTATGCAACACCAGTTATACATTTTTCTATATACATGTAATATTATATTTTACATAGATACCCAAGCTCTCAATGTCAGTAGAATTTAACTTGGTGTATCTGAGTAACAGCCACATGAGATCAACAGAAAACAGTTATCATAATATAAATATAATTTTCAAATTTTGGCATAAATAGGATTTGAATCTTAAACTTGCTACTTGGAGGATGACAATTCAACCATTACACTAGGATCACCATCCTCTTAAAAATCATTCTTAATTAATAGTAATTATTTTTATTTTTTTTTTTTTTTGCTCTTAAGCAGCCACGCTAGTACTTTATTAAGATTCTTGCA